CACAAGACCAGCAGCGTGAACTACGTCAATCTGTCGCTGACGCTCTTCCGCAAGCTCACCCGCTTCATCGACGGCGAGGAGAGCTACCCCGTCCTCAAGGACATCTTCGTGGCCGGTATCGCGCATCCCGCCGCCTTCAGAAACGAGATCTACGCCCAGGTCATGAAGCAGGCTACCTTCAACTCCTCCAAGTATGTTATTCCTTCCTCTCCTCTTTGCTGTTTTGTGTCTTTCTTCGTCTTCGTTCTTCTGACTAATCGACTTCGTCTTTTTTTTATTCCTGCAGGGAGGGCACGCTGCGTGCGTGGGAGGTGCTGGCCGCGTACTGTGGCGTCTTCCCGCCGACCGACGTCTTCCTCCCGTATCTGGGCTCCTTCCTGCTCGAAGCCGCCGCGATTCCTACGGAAGTCGGCGCGTTCGCGCGCTACGCCTACGACAAGCTCAAGCTGCTGGCCTACCGCGTAAGGCAGAAGGAAAACCGGCAGTACCCCCCGTCCATGCTCGAGTTCGAGGCCAACAAGGAGCGAAGGCAGATGCGCGTCTGGTTCACGCTGCCGAGCGGCAGCGACGCGGCGGTCCAGATCGACCCCGTGTCCACGGCCGCCGATGTCTTCACGCCGCTCACCACCAAGGCCGTGCGGCTGAACGACCCTTCGGAGTTTGCCATCTACGAGGTCTACCCTGCGAGCAACCTCGGTACGGCTCAACTTTACTTTGATTTTCCAGCCACCATTGATTCGTTGTGTTTCTAACACCACACACCACACACCACACACACCACCACACCACACACACGAATCCAACACAACCAGAGCGGAGCCTTGCGCCCAACGATTTCATTGCCGACATCCTGTCCAAGGCAGAAAAGTACGGCCTCGAGGTGAAGCTGTTCTTGAAGAAGAAGATGTGGCTCGACCCCGCCTTCCTCTCCGAAGATCCCTCTGAAAACAGGCTCGAGGTGTTCCAGCTTCACACCTACATCCTCAGGTAATACTCATACTTTATCTACATTATATATGTATATACATAAGCGTATATATACTCGTGTTGCGCACCATAGCCAATCATGGTGTTGTCATGTGCGTCGACAGTGAGCGCTTGCCGATCCGCGAGAGCCACGTCGCGGGGATTGCTGCGGCCAAGGTGATCATTGACGGCGCGCACCAGACCCTCGCAACCAACCCGAGCAGCATGTACGGCTCTTGCCCCTTTGGACGCGTCACTGGCCGCGCGACCATCATTCTCTGTTTGTCCGGTGTGTGGGCTGGTG